GACGGTTTTTTGCTTCTTTTATGGCATAATTCCAGAAAGAAGGAAAGTCAATCCCTAGCACCACCTATGACAAAGAGTCAATCCTAGTGTTGAAGACTAGATAAATTAGGCAGATTGGGAGACTCAAAGGAACCATCCAGCTCTCTTTTTCTGGGATTGCTTGTCAGAGGAGTTCAGTTCGTGGGCTTTGAGCGTAAGCCACCGATGGTAGGGATAATCCTCTAGGTCTTATTGTGAAAGAAAAAAGCCGCCCCGCCACAGCAGGCGGGTTGCTTCCGATATACAAATAATAGAATTATGGGATTTAGACCTTAGAAGGGTTTAAATCATTTAAGTTCCCTCTCAATACTAAAATCTATTTTCAGACACAGTTCTCTTAAAAATATTTGCAATACATTTGCAGGATCATGAAACACGTGACATGACATATGCTTTTAAATCACATAATCAGTATAAACAAATTTCAAAGAGCCATCCATTTGAGCATGCAGACTCTAAACCTAAAATATAATATTAGTGCTTTAGAATTGTCTTTCTTAGAAGTTATACTATGAAGCACGGGTGCCGGTACGGATACGGGTACAGGTACTATATGGGTACGCCAATACGCTAAAATAAAAATAAAATACGGGTACGGCTAGGGTACGTCAAATATTTATTTATTTTTTAAATTTATAACTAAACATCCCACCTACAAATCAAAATTCAAAACAATAGCTATAAAGAGACATTATAAAACCCAAAATATATCAATATTCAACAATACAAATACAGTATTATACAACAATAAGTGGAAGAGGGCAAAGTTACTCAATAACAATGTAAAGAGTTGGTGGTTCCAAATTATATAAATTCTCTGAAGATGATTAAGGAGAAATAACGCCTTAAGCTTGCATCAAATTCTAACATCTGGAAGGGGAGGAAAAAAAAAAAAAACTGTTGCGGAGTATCCAAGGAGAACCCACCCCGCACCCATTGAGTACCCATGACGTACCCAACGGTGTACGGCGTACCCACTGCATACCCATGGCGTACCCAACTTTATACGGCGTACTCGGTATATATATGGCGTACCAAGTTCGAGTGCAGCCGTACCGGTACGTGTAAGCACACTCGGTAAGTACCCGGTACTTGTCTAGCAACATTTTTGGAATACCCGTGCTTCATGTTATGTCTCTTAGCACCAATTGAATACTAAATGAGGGAGAGCCATTTGATTTGGTATGGCCAAGTACAACAAAAATCCGAACTATGCACCTATAAGGAGTGATTCCATCCAGCTTGAGGGTGCAAAAAGACAAGGGTTGAAGCAGCGAGAAAGGATATAAATGTCCTAAATTTAACCAAAAAAAAAAAAAAAAAAGCAGAAGAAAGGATTTTAATGGAGTCTTGGAGAAAATTGGTCCATGTGAACCCAAGTTATTAAGACCAAGGATTGTTGAGTTGAGTTGTAGAGCATTTGAATTCCTTTGCTCAACATACATCGTATGTATTCAAGTTGTCTCTCAACTCTTGAGATATCATGAAGCTCCACATTTGCTTCATCAGGCAACAATTAGCACATTAAAGTGTTACTAAAAGCGTAATTTATTTATTTTTGGATACGTAATTATTAAAAGCATTCTTTTCAAGAAATTACTATGCTTCCTACATCCCAAACACTATACACATTTTTTGTATTCACTACTTTTATCTGTCTTCTAGAACTTTTTCCAAACATGCTTTCATAAATTGAACCTCTATTGCTGCCCATTCATACCCTTTACAGTTCTCCCAACACTCATACATGCCAATCATTTACCAATGTGAAACCCCTCTTTCTGCTACCTACACTCATATCACAACAATAAGAAGATCAACATCAGATAAAAGCTTGAAAATTATTGTCATTATCTTTGCACCGTAAAGATAATAAAGAGATGGTGTTTGGTTATATACAACGGAGACCAACAGATTCAGACAATGATAGTAGATGGAAGTGTTAGAGGAAGAGATAGTCCTAGATTGATGGGGTAGGGATATGAATCTCCTGAATTTGACTAACTAAAAGACCGTTGATAGAGTTGAGTGGAGAAAAAAGATTTATGTAGCCGACCCCACTTGATGGGATTTAAGACTTGGTTTGGTTTGGTTATCTTTGCACTGTAAAGCTATCTTTATTTCACAAGAAAGAGGACATTGCTTGAAAAAATGAAAGAAAAATCCCAACAAGAGAGATGCTCCTTTTAGGAAATAAACCCTGATTCTAAAGGAATCAGTTTCCCTAAGGCCCTTAAAAATTAGTGGTAGCACACAAAAATATAAGATAAAAATCCATCGAATATCTGTGCGTGCAAGCAAAATCACAAGAACAATAAAATCAAGTGTTAATTACACAGACCTCCCTTGAGGTTTAAGACAATCACAGGGACCTCCCCTGTGCTTTTTAAAATTACACTGCCCTCCACTGTAAGAGTTGCCAGGAAAAGGTCATTGACAGTGACAGATTTTACACATTCACCATTCCTAGTTAACCACTTTTTTATCCTTATAACCAAACAACCCTAACTCAAACATCCAAACATCATATCCAAATATCCAAACATCTCCTTCTTCCCTCCTTTCCTTTCTTTCTCTTTTCCCTCTTCAAACCACCACCAGTTTCTCTCTCCCTTCCCCCCTTCAACAAGCACTTCACAAAATAATTAATTCCAAAATAAATAAAAGCCAACTAAAACCCAAAAACATATATATATATGTACAAATAAACTCATTCCACTTCAAAAAAATAAACCCACCAATTAATGGTAGGTTCACCAATCAACCTACCATTACAAACCCATTACAGAACTGGCTGTCCATCCCTGATAAACCTCGTCACCACCAATTCTATCAATCAACCTACCATTACAACCCGTTACAAAACCACAAACAACAAAATCTCTCTCTAAGCCAATAATTAGAAAGAACGGTTTAAAGCTAGACATAAAGTTGGGATTTGGGAGAACTTGCTGTGAGGGAAAGAATGTGTGGTGATTTGCAATGAGGGGAGAGAAAAAGGGAGGGGCCATGGTAGAAGAGGGGCAGTTGTGTCTGTGGATGAGGGAAGAGAGAGAAAAAGGATAAGAGGAGGAAGAATAAGGTAATGACGGTCGTAGTGATGAGGGTAGGCGGCAATGTTTTTAAAGGCTCAAGGCGCACTAAGGCGCTGAAGGTCTCTCGGGGCCTAGGCGCGAGGCGAGGCGCGGCGCGGCGCGGGCTTTATTGAAGCAAAGCGCACAATCTTAGTAAAAAATAGATAAATTAGCATAGACTAATCATTCACATTACTAAGACAAATTTTTTTAAAATAAAAGTATTCAAGACACAGGGTGTAGAAAATAAATTGAAAATAATTTGCAATTTCAGTGTAACGTAATATGTGATTAATTAATTATTTGTAATTTTTTTTCCTACCAGAGAAAAGAAAAAAAACTGTCCACCAGTGTAATATAATTTGTAATTTCAGTGTAAAATAATTACAAATAATTTATATTTTACCAACAGTGTAAAATAATTTATAATTTCAGTATAATATAATTTATTTTTATTTTACATACACATATTTGTATTTTTTTATTAATATGTATAAATATATATTATATAAGATATAAGATAATATATACTTATATATAAGATATAGGTAAAACAGAGGCTAGATAAGACAGAGAGAAGTCGAGAGAGAGAGAGAGAGAGCGCGAGCTCGCGAGAGGCGAAGGCGAGAGAGATAGAGAGAGCGATCGAAGTTGAAGGGAGGTCAAGTCGTCGAAGTTGAGAAGACGAAGTCGACAGGAGGTCGTCGAAATCGAGAAGAAGAAGTCGGCGAAGTCGAAGGGAGGTCGTCGAAGTTGCCGCTGAGTAGGTTTGTTCTCCTTCACTCTTCTCTTTCCTTTGTTCTCCTTTACTCTTCTTCTCTTTCGTGTACTCTTCTCGTTGTCGTGTTGTATTACATGAGTTGCAATCCTAGTTGGAGCCTCTCCTACACAGATCACAGTCGTTAGATCAGATTCAAGAAGGAAAAAAAAAAAAGCCCGTTAAGCTTGAGCCTTGTGCCTCGCTGCGCTTGGTCCAAGTCGCGTTCAAGGCGCGCGACTCTTCAAACGCGCCTCGCCTTGGTCCCCTTCAGGCGCAATGGGTGCGCCTCGCTGCGCCTTGCTCCTAGGCGCGCTTTTCACAACACTAGTAGGCGGTGGCAGTGGCGGTGGCGGTGGCGGTGCTTCTCCCCGTGGGTGGCGGTGGCAGTGCATTCTCTCAACTAGCTGTTGCCTTTGTTGCATCTGTTACTTCACTGCTTTTGAAGATAAAGAGATGTGGGTGTTTGGTTAAATGGTTAACAGATTCGTAAGGAGGATAGAATGAAGTGTTAATTGGGTAGTCAGGGTTAAATTTTTCATACATAATCTTATTAAGTGATCATAATAATAAATTATTGTGTAGGAGGGCAAAGTTGGTATTCTGATTAGTAAAATTGCCGACGTCAGATTTATCCGTCAAGCTTATTGACAGTTAGTTAACGAAGGGAAGGTTTGTTTTTATTGTCAGTTCAGTGTAATTTCAAAAACATGAGGGGAGATCCGTGTAATTAGCCCAAATATCAAAATATTAAACAAGTGAATAAAACTTGGGTAGTCATGGTTAAACACAGGAATGGACTTTGCTCATCTTTCTCATACATGCATACCATGACAAACAAAAGACATTTAACAACACAATTTCGCTTCTCTTTTTTCTTTTTGTGGTTTTTGGTTAGTTCTTCATTTCCTTCTTCCATGGGTTTTTTTTATTTTTGTTTTTATTTTTATCAGCAAATGAAAATGATGAAAAGAGACTCAACCTCTAGACAAACAAGCCTACCCAGTACCAACTTTGCTACTGTAGTATCTTTCACGGATGGTTTTTCCCCCAACCACGCGAGAATAGAGTATGCAACAAACATATAGAAAGTTGCAAGCATAACAACATGCCAAATCAACCATTGTGGTAAATAGCCCCTTAAATGTGATAAAATCATGGCCACGATCTAAGTTAAACTCTAAATGTGATTTGCGACAGTAGATACATGAAACATGATAAATTTCACACACGAAGGATCTATGACACATGTACAAAATTATTACAGTATATAGAGGGTATGACTATCTTTCACAAAAACCTGGATTAAAACATCAACAACAACAAAATAAACAGCACATTATCCAGCTAGATTTACGAGGTGAACTGATTCCAATTAGTCCTTGAAAAAAAGCTTACCTCCTGCATGAATCCTGCATTCTATGAACTACTTTTCCTTCTCAAGTGGTTCAGAACTACAGGCGTTCCTTCAAATAGATCCAATAAATAGTTCTCCAAGTCATCTGGGTGCGTGGTATTTTGATGTTTTTCCCAGCCAATTCTGCCACTCTCTAGCTGAACTCCAACCTTCCCAAAAATGAGCGATAGGCTGGAAGAACTTTCTCTGAAATAGATATTCGGAGCTCTTCACGAAGTTGAGCATCTGGGACCTTCCAAGCTGTCTGGGTCCTATAAATTTCTTCAAAAGCGGCATTGAAATTCTTAAACCTTTCCTTCAAAGCCAACTTAGAGGCATTACCTGAACTCCCACCAATCCCTTCATCCTTCAAAAAAGACAGGACTTTGGTCCATGAACTTCTGAGGTAGGCTGTGGCATATTGGCGAATCTGACCACGGCGCTTGCGAACCCATTGATCCCCCAAAAGCTTTCCAAGCTCAGAATCTTTCACCTTCTGAACCACATAAAGTATATTATTCATCAAGAATATATATTGCATTGCACCATCCTCATACATTCTTGATTTCTCCTCAAGGTTCGATTCCAGTGATTTTAACAATAAAAGCAATCGGCGTGCAATTGGAGATGTGCCTTCCAAAGACGTATTATTGCCATCATCCCCTTCCAAACGATCATATTCATCCCCAATGTTTTCTAGTAGAGTATTCAGGGTCTCACTGTAATCCACAAGCAATTTCACATAATTCAACACATATCGGGTCAGTGGGTGAATCTCACCACCCAGAGTCGGTTTCCTAGATGCCTCACCCTGAACGGCATTTTCAAACTCCACAAATGTGCCAATAGCTGCCTCCCCCAATCCAGCAAGTACTCCCCGGGCCTCACTGCACACTAGTTCCCCCGATTCATCACTAAACAACATTTGCAAATCTGAAAAAACAACCATCAGCACATCATACATATCTAGTATACGAAACAGCTTCTCTGACGATCTCCTCCCAATTGCAACCGCCTCACCAAAATTCAAGAACTGCATCACGCAACCCTTTGCGGTCTCAACAAAGCAAACCTCTTTAATCAGTTCAGAGCCCTCAAATATTTGTTCACAAAGCTGTTTCTCACCATTCAAAAGAGCCCTAACCACAATCTTAACAGCTTGAATCCATTTCCTCATCTTCTCATCCAAAGAAGTCCACTCAATCTTCTGAACATCCTCAATACTCAGTTTCTCAACGCCGAGAATAGACAAACACTCATCGAGAACATCGCGACGAACATTGCTGTACACTTGACAACACTCTTCTACCAGACCTAATCATCCGATCAGCGATCTCCTTGAGTTCAACCACAGCATCAGGATGAATCAAGTCCACACGCACATCATCCCCCAAGCTCGCGCCTCTCACGCGACAGTAACTCACCTGCTCATCCCCCCCAAAACTCCCGAAATCCTCGATTTCGCCATCGTTCGAAGCGAACGAAAGCGAACCCCTACGGATCGAGCCGTAAAGCCGCTCGGTATCAAGCGGGACAGTGTTTTGAATCAGAATATGACGAAACTCATCCTCCAGCCTCAACATCGCCAATTGAAGCGCACTCTCCGCCCGATCCACGATCTCGATCCCGGACCTGATCGTGAGATCTTCAGTCAGTTGGAGAATCTCATCCACGGCGGCCAAATACTCCGCCGCCTCGTCGGGCGAGTCCTCCCACCGCAGCGAGTGTCGCGAGGCATCGGAATTCGAATCCCAGCGAAGAATCACCTCTTCAGCAGCTTCGAATCGAGGATCGATCTTGCAATCTCCATCTCCACCAGCACAATCACCTCCGCCGCCGCTCTCGGTTCCATTCGACATCAAACTAGTGATATTGGAGAGGCGATTGTCGAAGCTCGATAAGATCAAGAGCATGTCCTCAGTAGCATCTTTGGATGTGTTGAGACTCTTCACGATTTGCTTAGCTGCCGCCATAACCCTCTCTTGGCCTTCGATCGTCGCCGCCATGAGGGTATATACAGATATAGATATAGAAATACACAGATATGGAAAGGATTGAAGAGAGGGAGAGGAAAGGACTAACCTTTTTGGGGGGAAGATGAAGATGAAGATGATCGGTGGATTTCTAGGGTTTGTCGTTGAAAGTTTAAAGGCTTGTTGATGAATCCATTTTCTAACACTGTGGGTCTGTGTTTGTGTGTCTTGGCCAGCTTTTAAATGCGTTTACCTAAGCTCATGAGAGAGAAAGAGGAGAGAGAGTAACGTAAGGTTGTCTTGCTTGTGCTTGGTAATACGTAACGGGTAGTGTTGGGTTTGGGTCGGGTCGGAATGTGGATGGTTTATTTTTAAAAAATATATTTGTTGTTTAATTTTTTAAAATTAAATATGATGAAATAAAAAAGTTATAATTATTAAATTGGTTTAATTTTTTTTAAATGACCCCTACAAAATGAATTGTACGAGTCGAAGGACCTTATGGTCTTTTAAATTCTCTTAAATTTATATTTGAACTTTTGTTTAAAGGGTATTTATACACAAATTCTAATTTATGGACTTATATTTTATTAATCGTAACAAAGATCTTTTGGACCTTCAAATCTCATTAAGTTTTTAATATTGGAATTGTCTTTCAAACAATGATTGTTCATCATTTATGATTATCTATAAAAAAATATGATAATTTGACATTTATTTTAATTTTTAAAACTTTAAAATATCAACTTTCAAATTAAATTTTTTTTTTTAAATTATGTACAAAAAATAAATTAATAAATAAATAAATTGAAAAAACTGAATTATTTTTTTTGTGCAAAACTAAAAAGTTTGAATATATAAAAGAAGCATGATGGTAGAACATTGATGTGCAAAACTGGAAATAATATTGGAATTGCCTTTCAAACAATGATTGTTCATCATTTATGATTATCTATAAAGAAATATGATAATTTGACATTTATTTTAATTTTTAAAACTTTAAAATATCAACTTTCAAATTAAATTTTTTTTTTTAAATTATGTACAAAAAATAAATTAATAAATAAATAAATTGAAAAAACTGAATTATTTTTTTTGTGCAAAACTAAAAAGTTTGAATATATAAAAGAAGCATGATGGTAGAACATTGATGTGCAAAACTGGAAAAAAAAAATTAATAATGTTCTCAGTTTTAAAACTGGAAAAAAAATGACAATATTCTTGATTTTATTAGATAATTGAATCAAACCAATAAGTAGAAAAGCAAAAACATTTAATCTCATGCTCTGTTTTTTTTTTCTCAATCAGTGAAACAATTATCTAGAATATTATTATGCAAAATTGATAATATTTTTAGTTTAAAAATTGATAATATTCTCATTTTTACTAAATAAAACTTATTGATTCAAAAAAATCTTAAATAAAACATGAGCAATCTTAACATTTATAAATAAGACTTTTAAATAATTAACTCTTCTTTTAATTTGTCTGAAATGTATTAATGAGTGGATCTCAAGCTCATTTAATGTGGGTGTTTGGGAAGTGAGTTTTTTTGTAAGTTTTTTTAGTTATAGGATATTATTAGAGAAAAAAAATTTTATGTTTGGAAAGATAGTTAGGTTTTTTTGTGATTAGATGTGATGTTTGTGAAAGAAAAAGTGAAATGATTATGGGGTTTGATATGATATTTTGTTTGGATTTAATTTTTTTTAGTTTTATAAAACATTTATCTTGTAGTGAAAAAAAAAAAAAAAAAACCCATAAACTAAGCTCCCAAACACCCTTTAGAGCCAAAATCAAACCTGAATGCAGGCTCAACCACTGCATTACTCGACTTGGTTGGAGCTAAGGGTGTGTACACGGTTTGAGAAAAATAACTCAATCAAATTGTTCTTAGTAAGTTGATAATTTGTTAACCCACCACTAAAATATGTACAATTTCAAAATCGATGGATTGGTTTGAGTATTTTGGCGATTTTGAACTAACAAGTTGAGCAGGTTGATAGATTGTAAATTCTAACCCATTGCATAAATAAATTTTAAAAATCATAAGCCTTACAATATAATTTTGAGGCTACAAAAAATAAAATATAAATTTGTTTGATGATATGTATGTGTTTAGAAAACTGTGAAGTGATAATGGTCTAGCATCTAAACATGTGGTGAAAGTCAAGAAAATAAGAAGATTTGCTCCTGATTGAAATGTTTGGTTTATATATAAAAATTAACGAAGCTGATTTTAAATTACATATAACTTAACTTGAATAAGTAGGTAATTTGTAAACAGGCACCCTTTGGAAAGAAAGTTTCTAGATTTTTTTAGTTATTTTAGGCACAAAAAATAAAATAGGCTATTTTAGTCATAACAAATAAAACATCACATCCAACCCATAATCATTACACTCTTCTCTCACAAAAAAATCAAAAAATTAAAAAATCCTTTCCAAACTAAGCTTTTTAACCCAAGCTAAAATAGCCAAAAAAATCAAAAAGTCAAAAAGTCAAAAAACCAACATACTTCCCAAACGAGCATTATCAATTGTGGATGGTGGATTAGTGTGATTCGAATGGATTAAAGACATAAATGAATTTTTTTATACACTCCAAATTGAAACCCTTTGTGAAATTATTTGAATTTATTGGATTATTGATTGTTGATTCATTATGAATAATGATTTTTGAAACTTCAACAGATTGAGGTGTTAAATTTAGAATGTGCCCCAACTCCTCGACTTCTCAAAAAACATCATTTATATTATCATTTCAAAATTTATTTTCATAAGCCCCCTCTAGAAGATATATATACATATATGCCCCTATGGTTTTGTTGCCCATATTTTTCCAATTAAATCCTATAGTTTATCCTTAGATTGACTAGATTGATGAGCTCTTTTATTTTATTTTTTGAATCCGTGCTATGAAAAAGTAAACTTTACATTTATCACTCGAATATATCTCAACTAAGTTAAATAATGTACAGTGACTAATCACCTTTTCTCTTACGTTGTGTTGTGTTGTGTTTAGTTGAAAATTTTGAGAAGAAATTTAAAAAAAGTAAAAGAAAAAATATATAAAATTAAGTAAAATATAAATATATTTTATTCATATTTTATTTACATTTTTTATTTTTTTTTTCCAAGTCCCTTCTCAAATCTCCTAATCAAATACATCGTTAGTTTGGCTTCTATCAATAATCCATTAGAGTAGTGCTAGGAACCCTAAATGTTTTACCAAATGTCCTACCAAATGTCTCACATGATATGAGACCTACGTAAAACTCAAATAATATAGATCTCATACCCATATAAACATTTAATAAAATATTTGAACTCCCCAAGAGTATCTCCAACGGTTCATTTCTTTTTTCACCAAATCTGAGTAAAAAATAATTGATTTTCTCAATCTAATATTGCTAGCTCCAACGGTGTGCATCAAAAGGGAAGGGGTCGTCCGGTGGGTCGACCGGTAGGGTTTATGAATTTTTTTTTTTTGTTTTCCTCCCTTTCTATTCCCAATTTGTTTACTACTTCTTTTTCCCTCCATTACATATTTTTCGTTTTTTGTTGTCTTCAACAATGATTTTCTTCTAAAATCTGATATAAACACATTATCCATATGCCAGACAAGTGATACGATCATAGTTGAAAGAAAACATAGCATAATGACTACCTTAAAATCCATGATGTTCACTTCATTTTCATCATCTTCTTCTTCCTCCTCCTCTGATGATGAGTATATGGTCACACTTTTTGGGGCTTATGAGATGAATAATGCTGGTATGATTCAGATTCTCCAGTCAACTGATAGCTCAAAGAAAATAGGTGGTTCTGTTGTAGGTCATAAGTACATACGTTGCGATAGAAGACAGGGTCATGAGAAATTGTTTGCAAATTATTTTGCGGCAAATCCAATGTATTCACCGATAATATTTCGGAGACATTTTCGAATGCGTCATCCTTTGTATCTACGAATTTTAAATGCAATCCAAGCACACAATTCATATTTTGTTCAAAAAACAAGATGCAGCTCATATTGTTGGATTATAGTCCTGTTTGGTAGGGCTTATTTCAGCTTTTAACTTAATTTAAGCTATTTTGATGTGTTTGGTTCAGCTTAACAATACAGCTTATACCTTTTTGTAAGTCAAAAATCAACTTATTCTTTGAGTGAGGGAGAAGAAGCTTAATTTATAAGTCAAAAATCAGCTTATGTTCACAGTTATAAGCTATAAGCTGTTAAACTATAAGATATAATCACTTTCCTACAGCTCTACCAAACGGGGCCTATCTCCCCTACAAAAAATGACTTCAGCTATGAGAATATTGTCATGGAGTGGCAGCAGATGCAGTTGATGATTATATACGTATTGGGGAAAGCACTGCAATTCACAGTTTGCAATAATTTTGTAATTCAGTGATTGAAATCTTCGGACCAGAATGTCTGAGATCTCCAACACCAACGGATATTGCTAGATTACTTGCTATTGGGGAGGTTTGGGGGTTTCTAGGTATGTTGGGAAGTTTAGATTGGATGCATTGGGAGTGAAAAAATTGTCCAAAGGCCCAAGGTCAATACGTAGGCCATCAGAAAAAGCCAACCATTATTCTTGAAGCAATAGCATCTTATGACTTATGGATTTGGCATGCATTTTTTGGAATGCGTGGCTCACATAATGACTTGAATGTGTTGGACCGATTGCCTTTGTTTTCTGATCTTGCTTAAGGTAAAGCTCCCCCTGTCCATTACACTATTAATAGACATAGTTATAATATGGGTTATTACCTTGCTGATGGTATATACCCTCAATGTGTAACACTGGTTCAAACAATTTCTTCTCCCCAAGGAGCAAAGAAACAACATTTTGTAATGATGCAAGAGTCTGCAAGGAAAGATGTAGAGTGGGCATTCGGAGTGCTTCAATCTTGATTTGCAATTATAGGTGGTGTTGTACATTTTTGGGATTCAAAAATGCTTGGGAACATAATGAAGAGTTGCATTATATTACATAATATGATTGTCGAAGATGAGAGGGAGGAGTACCTTGATTTCGATTATGAACTTTCATCAACCAACGCACCAGTGCAACTTTCCTCTACTCCTACCAATGACTTCTAATCATTTTTGTCTCGTCATTTAGGTATTAGAGATAAAGATGCATATCATGCCCTCCGTAATGATTTAATAGAACATATGTGGCATCTTCATGGTGAAAACTAAATTCACCACATTG